ATATATATATAAACTGGATGGCTGCATTGGCAACCAAGATCGTAAAAAACCGGAGAGGTGGATAATAATTTGCCAGGTATGTTTATTACGTTAAATGAGCAAACATTTTTGGTTATCAACTTTTGTCAAGAATTCACATTTATTAAGGCAAATTGTATAAGTATCTCTATGATAGTGTATTTGGAAGTAATGGTGAATATAAGGAAAATCTATGCAAAAAAATGTGATGTTATAACAGCCTGGTTTCCATGAAAGCGTCTTTCGATTACGCTGATTGGAGGCCTTCTCGACTGCGTCAGGGACAGCTACGCAGTGGTTACGAAAGCACTGAAAATGCTGTAACGACAGTGTAGTGATTTTATGAAAAATTGGCTTTACAAAAAGGCTAAATATATATAACTGATAAGCACTGTACAGTGTTCTATATATTATATTTGCTGCTGATACAAGTTATCCTGAACCACTTTAGTATAGTAGTCCTAATATTCTAAGCTACAAGTAAGAATTTTTTATAAAAAATTGTTTGAGCCATGTGAAAAAAAGAAGGTCTTACACATAAGTGTGAAACCTGTGCATTATACCTAGCCCACACGAATATGCTGTATTGAAAACGAATATAAAGAATTACATTATGTGCATTGTTAGTAAATGTAGTTTGACGGTTTGTTTTATTAAATTTTTTTTTTTGCTATTATCAAAAGTGTATTACGTTACCAATTATTTAGTCCTGGTGTTTCTATGTAAATGTGAGCGTTGGGGATGTTTGGGTGTTCCATGGGAACAACAGGCACAAGTGAGGTTACAGGGTGGGTGGGGTCGTGAGAAGAGAGCGTATTTTGTGGGTGTTCTGTCGCTGGAAGATCAATTTTAGCGGGTGGTCTAGAAGTCCTCCTTCACACAATGGAGTTTTCACTTTTCAAAATCCTTTGTGAAAAACTATATAAGGACTTCCTCATAAATTCTTGAAAGAACAGAATATAATTATTTACAAAAAGTGCACTCATGCACTACAATACCTAGGTTGTTGAGGAAATATTGTTTCACTAAAGTGCGCGTCTCACAAACACGTGTTTCCCAACAAACGCACGTGTTCGCGTATGTTTAACACTGTCGTCTTGTTAACAACAATATCCAAGGGGCGGGGCTTAGCGGAAAGGTCCATTGTTGTAACACACTCTCAATGTATTCCGAGGAGATTCTATAGTTTGCCACAAAATATGAATGGAATAATGTACATTTGACTTGGTCACTGCACTTAGAAAATGTTCTCTTTATTACCTTTCCTCGTATGCACAGTGTCCTGATTTGTTTTTGTTTTTCAACTCCAACGCATCACTATTAGATCATTCGAAACTATATGGCCAAGATATGGTAAAGAATTGACATAATCAAAGTGTATAGCCATCAAGCCTAGTTTTTGGTGTTAACTTGTCTTCATACTAATATTAGTGGAGATAAACTTCATACAAACAGACTTCTTATCGTTATAAACAATATCATGTTTAACAGCATATTTTGTGTCTACTGGTCTGAGAATTAAATATGTCCATGGCCCCGTCCACTCTTGATTGTTTACATTTATTATATGCACAAGACGCTGCAACCCATCCTTCGAATGTGTTCGTAAGTTTTAAGCTCCAGGTCTTTCATAGCATTCGTTAAAATAATAACAATAAAGATAGTAATAGTAATACTGTACAGTATTTCAAATAATCAGTCTTCGCTTTACTTTGATTTTGAAATAACAAAATATAAAATTATGTGTCTTTCAATAAGTTCATAAGAATCAACGTACCTCCTGTGATTGATTCTTGATTAACCATACATTGTGACAAATCAAAATACAGAACTCAACAGTGCACTTTATCACCCAGTACTTCGGTTGTATTTAAAAGTGTTTTATTTCTCACACTGACCTTCGCATAAAGGAATTAGTTTAAACTAAAAACGAGGCTACAATATCTATGCAGGGGTGGTGCAATGATCTTCCCAACGGGAGGTACGATGTTCCTGACTTGAGGGGTGGGTTGATGTTCCCGACGAGAGCAAAGTGGGTGTGTCGGGCGTCCCTCAAAATCTTTCAAAAGTGGTCCATGTACTTCTCTTCCAGGGCTGTCTTGGAAATAATTCTGAGAGTTTTATCTTTCTACTCTTTTCTGTTGTTGCTGTTGAGTTTTAAGTTAGGGGTTTTTTAAAGGAATTTTAGGTCATTGTTAAGTATTATGATATGATACAGATAAACCCTAAACCGGTGATACTGTATATAAGATG